CCCGCTCACAGGGCGCGGACTATGGCGGCAGTTGCAAGGGGAAAAGTTTATAATTTGGCTTCAAAAATGCCCAGACACCAGAAAAAAATGAGCAACGTTTACTAGTCCACAAATCAGATGGAGACGGGAGGCGGTCGTTTGGCGCGATCCCTCCCGTCGCGCCGCCCATTCGACGCGGTTTGCAAACTGTACAGCTCGTATTCTTTTCTCTTCTGCCTGTCTACATAGTCTTTTTGGCTTTCCATGGTGCTTGAACGAGTTGTCCAGCTTGCCAACCGTGTTGAATGGGCGGTGCGATGGAAGGGATCGCGCTAAACGACATACATCCGATGGAGACTCATATGCGGCGAGTGGAGCATCTCGAGGTAAGCGGCACTTCTAGATAAACTGGAGACTTACCGTAGCTTGTAACCAGAAACTTAAAGCTGAGATCAAAAAATTTGTAACTCTCTCTGGTGTGTTCTTTGTTGTTGCGAAGTCCATTCAGCGACTCAATAGTAAAATGATGAAAACCATTCAAATGCAATTGAATGCGTAATGCAGTTTCATAGGTTTTTTTCTGGAATTACATGATGTCGCTAGGAATACTTGATGAAGCAAAAAGAGTAAAATAAAAGTTGACGCAGGTATGTATGTACCTTCCAACAGATTTCCCTGCGGCAACTGTGAGTTGAGGCAATGGTGGAATACTAGGATGTACTATGTGGCATCAATTTCTCTTAATTTTTAGTCCTTGCGATTGGTTAGTTCGATGTGAAGGTACTGTAGGTGCCTCAGCTTCTAATTTTGTTTGCTTGACTTTCTTGTAGAATTTTATTCTNTGTCGCTAGGAATACTTGATGAAGCAAAAAGAGTAAAATAAAAGTTGACGCAGGTATGTATGTACCTTCCAACAGATTTCCCTGCGGCAACTGTGAGTTGAGGCAATGGTGGAATACTTCAGGTGATATTAACCTGTATGTTAACCGGCACATCTAATTAGCATTGACCAATAAAATTTTCATGTTCACATTTAGTAGACTGAGATCCCGTTAACATTGTCTGATAGATTTGTAACTCAAGATTATGTTAGGATGTACTATGTGGCATCAATTTCTCTTAATTTTTAGTCCTGCGATTGGTTAGTTCGATGTGAAGGTACTGTAGGTGCCCCAGCTTCTAATTTTGTTTGCTTGACTTTCTTGTAGAATTTTATTCTTTGTTGTAGCAAAACATGTATCACCTCAATCACACTTATCATCGATTTGCTCAAGCGTGGGCTATAATGCATCTGTTGTGAGCTACTGTAGTACAGTGTCTCTCCTCGCTCGTGGGACACGGAGCACGCCATTCCTTTCGTTCAGATTTTTTGTGAGGAAACCTGACCATCACGCTCTTGGCCGTCCTGATGTTCCCGGATGTCCTGACGGATCTGGTCAGTGACCGCTTGTGTCTAACGGTCATCACAAAACCGCATAGCTAGTCCGGCTTACCTGACCTTCGTTCCCTTCACGGAGCTTGGAACTCCAGATTCCATGTGCACTCGCGTGCATTGGGAAATTTTTAACACTGTCCAGCAGGCTGATGCTGTCGATGCTTTCTTTGACTGAAATATGTCTTGAAAGCCATCTTCATATACGGGCACATTATACTCTATTACGCCGAGAAAAGTTGGAAGGTGGCACAGTCATAAAGTGATCTCAACGAACTTCTCGGCGATGGGCAAGTCAGCCAAAGCCGAATAAGAAATGGAATCTGCTTCTACGGTCGCCCTATTCACCAACAGAGACTCCTATGGGTATCATGTCAATCGTCCGTTGAAAAATTGTTAACGAACAGAACTTCCGACGAAGTGGATGGTTTGATGGCCAACGTCAAGGCGTGGATTGCCTCCAAGAATCAGGAATTCTTCGCCTGTGGAATCCGACTGCTTAACAAATGAGAAGCAATGCTTGGCGTAGGTGGTTGATATGTTCCGTAGTAATTATTTGAACATGCCTTTGCTAAAAGTTTATATCGTTTCCTTAAGAAGAATTTGCTGGAAAAAATCAGCAATAATTATGCATGAGCCTAATAGTATGTGGTTCCCTGGAGCCATATATCTCCGCACAGCGCACCTCCACTCCAGGTGCCGAATACTGGTAGACGGCTAAAATTCCTTCGCTTTAATCACCAAGAGCCTCTTTTTAATTTTTCCAACCGCATCAGAAGCATAAAATTTTGTGCGCCACATCGTATATAGAATGTTTTGATAGAAATATGGCGAACAACTGTGAAACAATGTAAAGAAATAAACACATCACATACGAAAGGACAGAAGTGAAGATTAACGGATAACCATTCGACAATACTATCAACTGAAATGCCTCCAAGATACAAAGCCACTCTAAGTCAGTTACGATCTTCCTAGAATCCCTAACTAATTAGTGCAATAAGTTATGCGGTTCAACCCAAGCAGTCGCCGGTGCGTTAGCTTCACAACTTGATCCAGTCTCGAATGGCTTCTAAACCAACAGTAGCACCATCAACAGCACAGCACTCTACGAATTCGACTGGTCTAAAAGGAAACATGATTGAAAATATGAAGTGCAGCTATAAGACTAATCCCTGAACTGAAACTTTCTAAAAAGGTCAGGTTTTCCTATAAATTCGAGAACAAGCGAAAACCGATTAACGATGGTAGACTGTTGGTTGAAAACTTCATAGGTTCGATGAGGCTTGCACACTTCAGTTTTCAACGTATCCGCAGGATATGCTGTGTGACGGATGTGCCAATGCGCGGATTGGTGAGCATTCCAACAAGACGATGGTAGCATAGAACAGATCATAAATGTAACCAATCCCTCCCCCCCCCCCCCCCCCCCCNTGTAATTTCGGCCTCTTCTCCAGATTCACTTACTTAGAAATAAAAGAAATTTACTGACTTTGGTAAATCATCCCATGAAAAGTTGGCGCCAGTGTCCGTAAGCGTTCTATGCGATGATGATCCATCCGTGGACGTAAGAGCAGCAGCACGTGTCTTGTTTATTAATCCCATCTCTTTCTCCAGTGATAGACGAATCACCTGAACAATAGTGATGAACTTTCCAGCGAATTTCATTTAAAAAGGACTGTGAGATAAAAGCATTACTACCTGGCTGCTCTTCGCCAAGCCGTGATCTTGCTTATTGCAGGCAACAAGAATTGGTATCTAAAATGACATGGAGGAATTGTCATCTCCACCGTATATATACAACTGTTTTCATAATCTTCTCGATTGTGATGCGCCGTAATGTGAAGGAATGTGAGACAAAATGTGCAGATATTTAATTCCTCAACCTACAGTAATCATGATTTTTTCGCATTTAGAAGCGAGATCAAGCCTTTACCCTTGTACTTCCAGAGGAAGGGCTTAAAGATATTAAGAAAGAGGACCCTCTTTACTTTGGAATGTTCCACTTATGGCCTTACCGGAAAGAGTGTTACGTAAAAATAGCCAGGCCACGACTATTTGTTATCACGCAAAAATGACAGAGTTGCTCATAAACAACCTAAATTCAGGGTGGAGTGATTTAATCAATTCCTCTTAGAAAGGTAAATCGTTTTTCTTTTTCAACGGAACAAAAACAGCAATTATCTACAAACAGCGCTGATGATAGCGATGTTCAAAGGTTGCTCAAGAATTCACATGAAGACAGCCTGCTTTTGAAACAGCAGAGTTCGAAAACTTGACAAAAACATGCTGCTGACCTTCTTCCCGCTTTCTAAGGCAACATCGTAAAGAAACTCTGCCACATCACGAGATCTCTTCGAGAAAGACGACGAATCTACTACGAATGTTATGCCTCGCAAAGACGAACGCTCCTATAATGCAGCACAGTTCTATAAATACTCATCATTTCATAAAAAAACAAAGGCTGACCTTCTTTAGCCATTTTTCCACCAACTGCTTCCGCAACCGCTCCGCTCCCGGGAAGTCCACTACCTAGTAAACAGAAGCGTGAGTCGTAACAAGAAATTATGAAGTGAGATTGATATTGATTGGTTCTTGAGCATTTGCCCCTCGTTGAAATCCCCCCTCGCTTCACTGCTACTAGCCCGAGCTAACTGTGCATTCCATTTTCCAGTACTACTTTAGGCCCAACCAGGAAGAATTCCGTTACTTTCTCATCTCCCTATGTCTTCACACTAGAATGCTTTTTTCCTGTTCAAGAGAGATAGCTGTTTATTCCTCAAAAGCATGGCCATTCATCAAAATTACCTTCAAATGTTGTCCTCTGACGTCGATATCCAGAACATTTTCCTGGAATGACGTATAAGTCACAGGCTCATTATCTGTAATCATATTCTCACTATTGCCACGTCTAACTTTACTTCCTCAATTCCATATTTTCCAGTCGAAAGGTTATGTTGTCAGTCCGAAAACATATTCCACGAACGACTATTAGTTATTAGGAAATGCTCTGAAGAACCCTCGAGTAAGCGAATGAGGAAATGTCACGGCGAAAACGTCCTAAAATTGGAATGATAAACGTTTAAGGTCCAGGCATGATGTGAGCCAAAAAGAGGAGAGAGAGGAACATAAGTACTGCCTTTTTTCCCCTTTTGTCGCTAATAGTGTGACTTTCAAACCGCGAAACCTTTACTGAGCGGTTGATAGGCTTAATTTTCGCCGTGACCACGCCACATAACTCCTCGATGCGGCCGGGTCTTCCTTTCAGTACATCTTTTGCAAGTTTAACTGCGCACTCTCTTCAAAGCTGTGCGATTGTGCAAAAGAAGGAACTCTAGTAAACAATAGGTGCTCAGTCAGTTATTCAACATAAAGCAAAATCGTACTATGTTCAAACTACCACTAAATCAAGATAAAGCTGTAAACAGTTAATGTACGGCAAAGAAAGAAGCAGAATATTCATGTTGAAAGGCCATGAATACGTTACACCCTCGCTTCAGACATTGATCTGCGACATATTGATCGAACCCGCTGCTCTACGCGAAGTATGTTCATGAAGGTATGCGGCCGTCCACCACCTTATATATGGTTGCAGTGCTGCGTCAAACGAGAACTATGTGAATGAATTAATAGCGACCAAACCTACTGTTAGACAGCAAAAACAACATAACCTTTCGTGACAGCTACTGAAGGATTGGAACCTTCAGAGATTTCCGCTTGGCACACTCACAATACTGGAAACGATGAGAAAACTCACTTTTGTTGGCGATTTTACCAAAAATGTGTGTTTTGCCAGAATCGCTGAGACCAACTAACAAGAATGTGTCGGCTTTGCTTTTTAAGGACCTAAAACAGCGCCATATCGTATCGCTACTATAAAGGAATGAGAAGTTTAACGCTCCAACCTGTAAAAGAAGAAGGCGACGGTAATGAAAACTACAACGGCAGCCACAACGATCGCTAGAATATTAGGTTCCGCAAAAGCTGGCTTCACAAGAACCTCAGGCTCGCCAGCCTCCATGTGTTCCATCTGATCAAAAACCGTCAGAACACACAAATATAAAGGAATGAGAAGTTTAACGCTCCAACCTGTAAAAGAAGAAGGCGACGGTAATAAAAACTACAACGGCAGCCACAACGATCGCTAGAATATTAGGTTCCGCAAAAGCTGGCTTCACGAGAACCTCGGGCTCACCAGCCTCCATGTGTTCCATCTGATCAAAAACCGTCAGAACACAGAAAACACAAATCGAAAATGTGCGATCAAATATTCCACGAACATAATCTTATAGATATATATTACAAAAAGCGTCTATAAACTTTTATTCGCTTCTTTACTCGATAATACGACACAAATTCAAAGCTTTGCTCAGTTTTCTATATTATACATCTGCTTGACCCGTTTAGGGAGGTCATTTTTGCCTTTAATCCGTCGCAATTCTTCGAACAAGCAGCTTCTACCTACTGAAAAAGGGCTACTTTTTCAATCGTAGAACTGAGGTAATCGAAAAGGAACCTACGAGCTGGATCATAAAATATCCCTGAGAATTTCTCTGCAGCTCTCTCCCGTACCCACACTCTTGTAGAACCAGTTATGACACTTGCTAGTTGAACAATGACGTACCTGAATGACTAGCACTTATCGGGATTCCATATATTCATATTATAGCAAACGGAATATCTAACAGAAAAGTAACGTAAAACTAAAAAACGCACTTTGACTTGGCTCCCATTTACAGCTTCCACGGTACACAGCACTATGAGGTTACCAAAATTGAGGAGGAGCTATCCTGTTGCCTACTCCAAATCTGGGTTAGGCTTGATAATTAGGAAGACCAATAGCGATTCCACAGGTTTGTAGTTGCAGTAGTACTTTGAAGTGAAACACGTGCAGTCCGTGCACTTGCGTATTAGAAAGACTTACAGTAACAAATCACGCCTAAATTTATTCGGCACCTACACGCGCTTCGTGCTGGATCCCACCCGATCTTGTTATAACGCACTGAAGATACCTCAACATCGGTTTCGTATTCATTTCTTTTGAGTGGCAGGGCTAGTTGTGAGCCTGCCTAATAACTAAATCCCCGAAAAATTCTAATTAATAACTCCTTATACAGAGTATCCGTCGTCTACGCACCGGAGCCTCCTCTTTGTGATTTGTTAGTCCTAATAGCATTACAACAGTCTTGTGTATTTGAAAGAGCTCTAAGAAGCCAAGGGAACGACCTTCCTCCTATTTGGGGATAATCACGGGAGGGTTTAACCAGGGTGAATTTCTAGTTCTTCGATTTTTCTAACTGGATATTGCTGCAAAACAATGAATGTATAGTTGAACAGGAGAAATCGGCCTGCTTATGAGAAAGGGATGAGGAGGTGAGCCAAGATCAGTGCTAATCTCCATCTGGGATCCCACTCGCTGTCATTTTCCCAGCGCACGTAGCGCCACAATGTGTGACCCATTTCTATTCATGAAGAGCTGCTTCTGTTCCTACGATATTCGGAAGTTTTGAATTAGTCTTTACTGTTTTTGATATGCTGATTATTCTTACTGAAAAGATAACACGATTATGTTATCAGTAGCTTGTGAATACTACGACTATACTCCTTTATACCCGAAAGTTTCTATTTTTTTTTCATTCTCTTCATCCTTTTTGATTTGTGTTCGTGGAGGATGTTTTGGTTTGAGAAAACTCGGGTAATTGTCAGCAGATCATCTTATATGCTGAACGTCAACATGCAAGTCACAGATCCAGCCGAACGAGTCCAGCTTAATATAATAGTTTTCATCAGTCCTTTCAGTCTCTCAGTCACCCTACACTATTTGTGTAAGTTATCGAGTTGGTTTTACCTGAATACAGTGACTATCCACCACTTTCCTTGTAATCCCTAATTGCACACTGTTTCCACTACCACTGACCCGAAGTAAGTCTTTGCTTTGGAGAGCCCTTCGACGTGGTGATCGGTCTCGATCTGATGCTCATCGGAATCTTGTTTGAACTAAGAATGTCCTCCATCTATGCGAGACTGGGAACTTGAAGGAATGAATGCTCAAAAGGATACTGACTGGAGCTGTCGCTGTTCCAATAAGTCAACAACAGTCAGATATCAAGGGCGTTACATGGCTGGAAAGGAACGAATGCATGGTGCATCCGAAAAATAGCTCTAGCTTGCTTTTCGAACTTTATCTTCAGGTTTTTTTTCATGTGGAACATGCGCTTCCAGATGAAGCGCTCGAGGTATCACAACTGCTGATAAGGTATTGCTCTCGTGTGACATCCTATTTTTTCGAAGGAATTCGGAATGTCGGAATTCAGGTCCTGATCAGCAACTCGCGTATGTTTTGAAAGCTCCCGTACACACAGTCGCTGCATTATGCTACTTCTTATCATCATTTTCCTGTCTAACTGGCTTGCGCTACCGTACTGCTTACAGCCCATTAATCCACAAAGAATCACTCATTATTCTGGTCCTGTTCATGAGGTTGTATCGTAGCATTGTAGGCCCTTTGTGACGATCATATTCGGCAGCAAACCTGCTACAGCATTACAATGCCCATATTTCGCTATGGGTGACCGATTGAGTTGCTCACTTTACCGTTTTCGTGAGATTCACCTCATGGTCAATATACTATCCACTCTTTTTCCTGGCATGTTGTTGCAGATTTTCTTGATTGCTTCAGTAAATATTTACTTACAATTACTTTGCCCCACTTTGAACCGTCATCGTTGTACCCCTTTTGATTTGAGCGTTGCGATCGCTGCCCAGCAAAAACGGGAAAGGTGTTTGTCAGAACTGTCCGGCACTCCGAAGTTAAAATATTTGAATCTCTTTGGAAGTATTTCTCCCTTATTGAGTTCTTTCTGCAAAGTTAGCTTCCCAATAAACGAAGGTGCATCACGTTCGAGGTTTCAGAAATGCAGCGAGGCCGAACCCATTTGCTTCATCACATGCAAATCGAAGAAATCGCTGTACAACTGCAGTTGTAGACGATTCCAAATCTGAATGGGTCAAGCTTGTTTTTGTCTAAATTAGTCCTTCAGCGTACCTTTTCTTTCCTTATCTATCATAGAGCATATTACCGGTTCCCCGCAGCTGTTGCTAACATTACAAGTAAACTTTTTTGCTGAAAGGCATACCCAGACCTTCATGCTTCACTCTCATGGGACCGTTCACTGCTTTGAGCACCAATGTGGCTTGGCATACATCGGCACCGCTGATAGGGTGGTATCCTAATGGACATATTGATCCATTGGCTCCCTCATGGGCTACTATTCATAGCAGTTGGGTCAATATTCCGCATTGATAAGGGCCCACTCCTGAAAAGAGTGACCAAAACCACTATGTGCGGTTTTTTTGGCGAACTTGATGGGAACATCGTGCCATCAAGTGGCGTCAAATGTTGCCAAACAGGTGGTGATTGCCTATTTGTGATTAAAATTCGAAACCCTTTCAGCTCATGTTCTAGCGTAAACAACACTCTCCGGAATTCCAGGTACGGCTTTCTATGAACCTCGGCATGATTGTATTACCGAGATTGATGTTGTCTTGAACTCTTCACGAGGTATTTAAATAAATAACCTAATAAATGTTATTTAAAAACCTCGTGAAGAGTTCAAGACAACAACACTCTCCGGAATTATGATCAAGTATATAGTATATATATATTTATTTATTTATAAAGCGCCCCTTTTCCTATTTTCTAGGAATGTTTTGTTATTATCGCTGTCTTTCTAATATATTTCGAGTTCTATCGTAGGGGCGATTTCTCGTTCGTTCAGTTCAAGCAAATAAAAAGGCGCTGTTGACATAAACTTCAAAATGAAACCTCGCATGAAATTTGGAATAATCGCCCTCATACTTCATCGGTTCACGTATCTGACCAACTGGCCAATAGAACGTTCACCCCAATGGATCCGTACACTGAAGCATCTTGAAAATTGTTCCTCCTCTTTTTCAAAAACTAATTGGCATTCTTACGTTGCTCGGATAGCCAATGAACCTTTAGAAAAATGAAATCTCGTGTGTAAAATACGACACACTCAGTCCATTCTTTTTATTTAGTGTCAGGGTTCCTGTAACAGGTTCCTGTAATCCGACATATTGCGTGGAATAGCGTTCCTGTATCACAGCGGTCCTTTCCAGTGGAACCTTCGATGGTGGATCATTTAGCTCAGCTGTCAGAGAGTTTGTCTCTTACATTTCTCTCTCTTTCTCTGACTTTTTTCTTAACACAAGAAAAAGGGTGGCTATGGATTTCGCCGTAATCTTGCACGGTCTATAACTTTTGACTCCTTAACTCTTGATTCTCTTCCTGTGTTGCTAAGTTTCTGTCTTTGAAGGTTATATTTCGTCGGCCAACATCTGCGAGGATGATAGTGATTTCCTTTCTTACCATAGTCTTATGCAACACTACAATCTGAAGAATTAATTGAATTCGCCTGCGCTCAGGAACGAAGAGTCACCTCTTGCCTATTTGTCCCTTCATGGCTTTGCAGGCATACTGCACCAAGAGTATGTTTCCATTTGGCTTGATTCTGGACCATCAGAATCTTACGAATCAAGATGGTGTGTGGTAGGAGTGCCTCGACGCCTCGAGCTCCACAAACGATAAAAATTATGTCGAAAGGTTCCATATGTTTGCTTGCGTTTCTTGCGTTGAAATGTACAAATGTAACCTCTTCACTTACCAGATTTTCCTGAATTCAAGTAAGAACGCTGGACGGGAAGTTATTTTCACGGGAAGGGCTGTAAAGGGCTTCATAATGGGCTTCACAACCGCTTGCTAGAAAGTTGATAAGGTCATCTCTCAATCACAAGCGACCGCTTACTGCGGCCAGTCCTTTGGACAGCACTTCAAGAGTCAGACGTAGTGGAACTTCTAATCTCCCATGTCAAGGGCATGTACGATGGGTCCAAGACAACTGTACACGCTCCTTACGCCTCAACTCAAGCAATAGACTTCAAGTTTGGTGTTAACAGAAATCAGCTCCGAGCTGCCACCTTCTCAGTAACTTTGGATGTCATTACAAAAGGATTCTTAGATGGTCCATTGAATACCATCCTCTACGATGATGACATAGTTCTAATAGCGGTGAGAAAGAAGAGCTTGAGGACAAGCTGCAAAAGTGGCCGATGTTACTCTGATGGAGAACACGAGCCGGCTTACCTTGAGAAATACCATGTTCCTATGCTTCAAGGAGTACGCAGGGCCAATCGTAGACTGCCTTGGAGACTGCATGGAAGTGTACTAGACCTCCGATGCTAGGGCAGTGATGAAGCTGCTGACGTTGGCGTGGATCATCTGTGCAGTCTCGAATCAACGTCGTCTGAACGAAATGGAGATCGTCCAGTGGTATCCTCTGCGACGGTGCTTCAGGACCCTCAGAAAAAGATATACCGGAGTGAACTATGGCGAGACTCGCAATGCTCTACGGCAGCGAGTGCTGGCCCGTTGGCAAAAATTTTGCGAGATCACTTCATTGCGCAGAAACGAGGATTTTGAGATGGGCCTGTACGCTACTGGATCGGGTTAGAACGAAGAAGTCAGGGTGGTCATGCTTACAACCCTGCCCAGCTAAAAATGACAGAGTAGCGCCTGTTTGATGGCATGGACACGTACCTAGAAGATCAGAAGCACGTTTGGCACGAAAAGCATCGAAATTCGAAGCCCCAGGTGAGGCGTTAAGACGTGATCGAGAATCCTCGATGAATGGACGCCGTATTCTGTATTTGATGGTCTCCGTTTCATTCTATCTATAGCATATTCTGCTTTCGCTGAAGTCAACGCGACTGCTGTATATGCTGCAGATAGGATGAAGTGGAGAATAGCAAGAACAGCGAACCCTGCGACGGTATGGAAACAAAGCTAGGGAGAAAAAGAAGTAGTAGTTTTTTGCGAGAGAGACTTTCTTTTCATTGTCATTCCTTTTCTGATTATCGAAAGGCCATGTGAGAATGGCTCCCTCGACTGCCATCCCGAAGCAAGGTCGATAGTTCAGCCTGCGATCAAATTCCTATTAACAAACATAAAACAACAATTGAAACGACGTTGTGCGCTGACACATCGTTGGCTCCAACTGCCTTGGATCACGCCTCCGTCATCCCAATCGAGGTATGGATGTCAATCCAACGATTCTGCCTAGGCTGAGCGAGTCCAAGGTAGGTCAGAAGTCGGCTATGCGTCATAACGTCTGTAAGCCGCTAGTCATCGTAGCAGTGATGTTTCAGTAATTATTTTACGGCTAGCATTACGGTAGGGGCCTGGTCCCAAAATGAATTTTTTCATGTGAGCCCAATTATAACATGTCATGTACACGAAATAACATGTCACTTGCAGTTGATACTTTTCGTTTGTCTCGAGTTCATTCTTGCGGTGCCTAGCACGATGTACGTCGACCGTAAAGCCTTTCAGGAGATCATGGAAGGCATAGGATTCCTAACAGTCCTCTCGGGTTCCATGTTCATTGGCAGCTATTTCGCCGGATCTGTGCCAATGATGTTCAGCATGTCCGAGGTTTGTTTTGGAACTTTTCGTCAGATGTTGTCTTGTGGCTAATTTGATCGTGGATGCCTTTCTTTGAATAAATAAAAGAATATGCGGGGAATCATTTTTGAGACAAAGACGACTTCCTCGTGCGATACGGAAGAATGTTTCTGGGGGGGGGTTGTAGCAACCTCTATGAGAAAGATCGCGTCATTTATCACAAAGGAGTGTAAATCGAAAGAAATCTCTGACAAAATGCTGTAACTATTGCCATGTCAAGTGAATTGCACTTTTGAGCGAGTTAGATCGAAGACAGAGTTGTCTAGAAAGTACTAGGTAAATACTGAAGCAATGCCCTTGTTCGTCGTCTTGTTTCCCATCGCTACCATTTCAATGCCTTTTTTACTGCCCAGATGAGGCTCAATATGCACTCATACGTATTTTGGCCGTTTTTGAGAAGTGAAAAAAAGCACCGAAATGGTAGCATTCAGGAAATAACATTCCTACCTTGTGCTCATTCATTTTTGTAAAAGAAAAGGTGGGAACTATAGCTTCTAAAGAAGTATGAGCATACCAGTGGGATTAAATCGCAAAAGGTTCAACTCAGCTCGGTTGATTTTTCTACAAATAACCGCACAACATGTAGTTTCCCATAGAAAATATACTAAATACTGGTTTTAATATGCAGTGAGGTTTGGAGAGAATTACACACTTACCTATCCAATGAGGTGGTCGCAGTGCTCGTACATTGAGGACTTGATAGCTGTTGTTCTGGTCTATAAATACTATTTTTGTTAATTTTGTATTGTCAGTGAAAGCTTCGCGCTATTTTGTCATTGCTTTGAACTTTAGTCAAGAATGCGTATGGTAAGCATATTCGGAGCTGGACTACTTCTAGGGACCGCCTTATCTGTGATCATCCCCGAAGGAGTAGAAGCACTCTATAATGCGGAATCAGGTAAAATACATTCTCCTCAGTTTCAATTGCTAAGTCGCCTATGCGAGAATTTTAGGAAATTATCATTTTTTTTACTCAGAGTAAACTTTTTACAGAGAGAACACAGCCTGCTTTTGCTGGAGTGAACAACCATGCCAAGGCTAAAGCCATTCTCGAAGACACAAAGCCTGAGAAAGTTGAGCCACCACGAATCATTCCCCAAGTTCTCAAGGATAAAATTGATGGAGATGATATGGGGTATAGCTCTAATTACTTCATTCATTCATAAAGCCGCCATCTACTTCACTCGATGCTACCTTTTACATCATTTAGTAACCCTAGAACAAGAAGAAAACGGGATATCTCATTATCGGTGAGTTCTCCATTCCCAGTGACGGATATCACTGTGATAAGGCGGAAGCGAGACCAAGGTCAGTTCATTTACTATTCTGATTCCAATATTCGCTTGGCTTTTTTCGGATATGTTAAAATTTACGTGATACTTGCGCCAACATTTCACTCCACACTTGACCATGAATGAACACCTCATGCCATACTGGCTTTGAAACTATAACTTTGTTACTCATATATGGGCGTAGCTAGAACGGAGATCTCAAAGTTTTCATTACAGTTTTTCACCACCACCTTGAACCACTTTGGACGAATATTCATAACGGTTCCGTTGGTGTTGAGTTGGAGGGAATATCTCCGGTGAATACGGGATAAAAGAATGGTGTCCGAGCCTCATGCCCCATTTTAAAGTTCTAACGTTTCCTAAACATGTTCTCGATATTCGTGTTTTCTTTCGGCTACTGTTATACAATTGGGAAAGGGGAGGAGGTCAAATCTGTACACACTTTTGGACGAATCTTTGTATTTTTTTCGTAATTTTGAACATCATTTCTGATCGCATAAAATCTCATTTATGATTTCTCCGTTGGATGAAATATCAAAGGTTAATATAATTCGCGAAGTTTTTTTTTTGAAATAATCCGAGAAGTCCATTTTTCTGGATAGCTTTTCGCGTCATGTTGGAAGTTCTTTTCAGTGGTTGTCGGTCAAGAGGTGAGCTCGAGAGAAGCTCATCCGCTTTCTAGTCATGACCATTATTTTGGACACAGCGCACATCAGCAAATTGGTTATCCTCTTGTTTTCGGATTTATTTTTATGCTACTTGTTGATCAGATTAGCAATGCAGCTTGGTCGAGGAGTGAGTATTTCCTTCTCTTTATTCTTGATTTTTCTGGTTGGTCGGTAAATCACTCGCTATTTTGTGTAGTACATAAATATTATGCTCTAAAACCAATCAAAAGGGCTTGGAGTTGGTAAATCATAGTATAAGCTGTCCAGTTGCGACGTAGTGTTCGATGAAACTTTCTTTCTTTTTCTTTTTCCCCTTTTTATGAGTGCAAAGAATGAAGGCGGTGTGTATTGCCAGTGTTCAAGTAGTTTGCCGAATCCTCTTCCCAGAGCTATGCAAGGTTTCGTGCCTTTCCTAACACATCGTTGCGCCCGAGTGGTGGCCAAAAATCCAGAACCAAAATAACCTGGTCATGGCTTGAGGGAAGACCTTTGGCCTTACAAGGGAAGGATCCCAAGTCGAAGTGGCCATTTGAAATGGGACCTATACTGCTAGGCGTATTTTTTGATGCTGATTTCAAATCTGCATTCAAAATCTGCCAAACGATTCTCTGAACGAAGTTAATTTTTTGATGCTGATTTCAAATCTGCATTCAAAATCTGC